ACAAAAGCTGCAATTGTACAATCGTTTTTGCTTATTCGGTCTTGTGTGATTCTAGCGTAGTGCATGCTGTACATTTCTCTCTAATTCAGGAAGTTATTCATTTAATCTTGGTCCTAGTTTCTTTTTAAGCTGCTTCCAAATGACAGTGATGAAGTCACAGTGTAAAGTTCGAAGATTGGACTCACGAAGTCCAGATTTATTAATGCGTTCCATAAAAATCAGTGCGGATGGTTGCTCCTTCTTTGCACGTTCAGTTTGTAATCAGATTGCGCAGTCTGCCATTAAGCAGCTTTGCTTTTAAAGTCTTAATATCGGCAATATGTCATTCTCTGGTTGAAAGTATGAACTGCTGCAAGGTTAGGGCTCACACAACGTGCTCGTCGACTTCCAAGCCAGCGATATATCTTTGATGTTGCCATGAAGGTTGGCATCTAATGTCATTTTATCCCATACCAAAGCAACAGTCTTGACCGCATTAGCCGCACTTAATTGCCTGTCTGAAGGTTCGAGGTTCTTCGTCTATCCCGCAAAGACCAACAGCAATTACCTCCGAGCCAACACCTCTCTAGTAAAACTGTTCTCTACGTCACTTTCTACGGTGACCATGTGAAAAACGGTAACAGACCCATCGAGAAGCTCTTGGAGTGATGAAGAACAGCAGCATCACCTCCCGAAAATGCCTGAAAAGATCTGCACGAAGACTGGCTAATAACCATTCCACATTGTGCACAAACTTACGGAAGCGAAATGAAAGCTAACGCCCCAGTACTGCCACATCAGCCCTGGCCACTGTCTATTTCAGCGCTAAGCGTCATGCATCGCTGTGATTCAAATGCAATCTAGTTTCAAAACCCAACTCTTTGTCAGCTACCTAATGAAGACCATCTCACCTCCTTTCACCACTCATTTGCTTGCCCATCATCTTGATTCCCTTGTTCTCCCCAGCAGAATAAAGGAAACTGCCTAACTCATCAAAGTTAGTTGAAGCTTAATTCGCACGGGTCCAAACTGCAGAAACTATTTTTACGAAGTTTTCGCAACCCGATGGCATTATCTTTCTATGTTTCATACATACAAAATACTTTTGTACACTAGAGTATGTTAGATGACACATAACTCATTAAGGGTAAAATCTGTCTAGGAGAAGCTATGCACCGTTTAGCATACCGCAGCGCATGAAACTGCTTTGATGCTTATGCAGTATAACATAAGCAGTACAAGCACTTGAATATAAGTGTCAATAGAACGAGGTACCAACCCGTTCGCGATGCACGCAAAGTGCCCCCAGCGGAAAATATAATGCGACGTCCCATGCCATCCATTTCTAATAGATGGCAAATCTTTGCCTAAATTTGTGGCTATGTGACGCTGTGACCGCTAATTGTATGTCGTCCATATTTTGGTTGCTACCTCAGCAGCCTACGGGGTAGCGAGATTTTAAAGCAGTTAGATACGTTGGATGCATATTGCCATACAATTCTTTCTCAGTGAATGTTCAGGGAAATGGTGAAGAAATGTCAGGTCGTAAAATGTTTAAATCAGCAGTTTGAATAATATTTTCATAATTTCAATTAGACTTACTTGACAATTCATTTTACTGGGTCAAAGCGTTTAGCATTTTCATTAAACGTATTGTTGCATAAATAATAATTGTATTTATTCTATGAATTAAGTTTGATCTTCAGCATTCCTATTATGTTTAAAATTCTGAAAATCAATGAGTGCAATATTCAAC